GGGTGAACCCCAATTCACCCAATCAGATTACTGATACAAGAGAGAAGACAGTTGTAGTTGAACTGACGCCATCTTTCTGCTCTTGCCATCTCTTGTTGCTGCCGCCATTTCCAATTCGATCTCCACCTGTAGGAGCAATCAAGAAAGGTTTTTGATATCAGTTTTTGGAGAAAAACTGATCTGAAGTTGTGCTCACTCGCCCTCCATCGGATTCTTGGTGAAGAATCAGGTTCTTGTTGAAGAACCATTTTGTTGATTCTGCTCCACCCTACGTTGTGTCATCTTTAGTGGGAGTAGTCTTTGGTGATCTCCTTGGGTGTGAACACTTTCATTGGGAGTTACTACTACTCTGTATCAGGTATATCCCTCTCCTACCTTTTGGTTTCAGATCTAGTCCGGTTTAGGGTTCAAGATTGATCCTTGAAAATGCTGTTTTCTAAAATAGGGAATGTGATTCCCACATGGGAGAGAGATAAATTTTTGAAATTTTGCCCAACCTACCTACAGGGTTCGGTCATCCGTATGATGGATCTCTCATCCCTTCAGTGGTATCAGAGCTAGGTTCAAATCTTGAACCGAAATTGGCCATATCTGAAATTGATCTGAAATTAAATCTTTTTTAAATCTTTTTTAAATATCCCTTCAGTGATATTTAGAACTGTTCTTTATATTTAGATCATAATCTTGATTGGCGCAAGAAATCTGCGCTTTGCTGTTATTTTACATTCTTGCCTGTAATTAATTTTTTTTATTTTAGTCTGAATGTATAAGAATTCGATTTGATGTAATATTAATAGAAATTAGGGTTTTCTATTTTTATTTCAATCAAGATTTCAGCAGATTGGGTAGAAGGAAGGATTTTCATAGATTAGGGTTCGGCTATCTGTGATTTGCAGTTTAAGAAACTGCAAGCTGCGAACTAACCTCTGTTTTGTAGGGTAGCAGATCTGCGAACAGCCCTAGTACTGATTCTTGAATTTCTTTTATCAGTAATTTAATTTCAGATCAATTCTTGAATTAAAATCTTGAACTAAAAATCAAACCCTAGACCCATTCAAACCAGATTGGACCAAACTGGTTGGACTGAATCTGTGGTTCGATGGGGGCTGTTCTCAGCCCTAATTTTTCATTCTTGAGTTCAGGATTTGATGTTTAATTGCAATACCTAATTCAGCCCACACCTGTAAAACTCAGTTTTAATGTGTTAAAATTGTTTCAGCCCATTAACAGCACAAAAGCTATATGGGCCGAACCGCTCATTGCTATTCAGCCCATATACCTAGATAATATTAATCAGTAATATTATGGATTATTATGTGCTTTAATAATGGGTTTTATAGATATTAATTGATTGGATCAATTTTATCCCTGCATGTGATGTATGGATGTGTGATGTGCAACGTTTATGTACTTGGCCCATGTTGATATGATAGTGGCTCTTGCGCACACCATGGTTGAATGCACACTATTGCCATGGTGTCCTTAAGATCATTGGATGATCCACCCTTCATGGTGGGCCCCACACCTTCCTAAGAGGAACTGTGTGGAACCCTAGCCGTTTAGGGCCCATCGAAATCTGGCTTTATGAAAGTCAATGGGAGCCACTTTGGTTTGACATAAATTAAACTAGGGCATAACTTTTGTTCCCTCCTGAAATATGAGTGCATGTGATAG